AAAAAAATTATTTTGAGTTTTGTTCCACATTGTTCTGCCTGTCTATCCAGGATCTCCTACAAAGATCCTCTTCCAAGTGGTTGACAGTAGTAGCTGAGCACCATCTATTTCTTCTGGTCTCATAGTTGTATAGGCTGCAGATCAGATGGTGTACCAGTCGCTAGGACTAATTGTTACCATGAAGTTTTGGTTTTCTTCATTCTTCTTGGCTCTGGATGAGGAGAGACCCATTGTTGCATTTAGATGGCAGCTTGCAAGCTTTTAAGATATCAGTCGATACTCACCACAGTAGGAAGTGGAACAATGTTTTGTGTGTATGTTATGCCAATTGAGCTTAATGTCCTCTGCGACTATGGTCCCGAGCCCACAGGTTCAACTACTCAGACCCTCTGGGTAGCTGGCTGTGACCAAGCAGTGACTACAACCTTGCCCCTTGTCAGCCCCATTATACACCTGGGAATTCAGATCATACACATAAAGTTATTGGACCACTGTCTGCCAACCCTATACATGTTCTTGGGTGCACTCTCCACTTCATATACATACCTAATGAACATATTAGTAATTCTTAACAATTAACTTTTAGCAAGACATATCAAGAAAAAAAGAGAGGGAGCAAACTATTTATATTTGTAGTAAAAAAAGTGTGGACCTACTAAAGATCCTACAGAGAGACCTTGCCCTAGTAGTCCCACTCAGAAGTCTCATCCTCTTCCAGAGACTTAGTCTAACCAGCCGAGGCCTTAAACCTGTAATTTCAAGTGAAGGTCAAGTAGGTTGCCCCGACTCTGCTCTCTCCTTTTTTTTTTTTTTGTGCAAAACTACTGTATTTACAAAAATGGCACAAAAGTGAATTCAACAGTCAATGCACATGCACACTTCTTTCACATCATCAACAGGAAAAGATATTCTAACACTATAGAACTGAATAAGAATACTAGCTTCAAGAGCAGCTATTAAGCACTAGTCACGTAAGTTACACCAGAATGGGCAAATATTGCCCAAGTAAATTTTTATTGTTAAAGCTGAAACAGGTTTAAGGCCATTCAAGTTCAAGCACAGAGATACAAATCTTTCAAAGCCCCATCTATTTGTTTGTGTTTGAAATCTATGACGTTTCTCCCAACTTGTGGTCTTAAACTTCTGTTTTACAAAATCCAAAAGGAAAATATGGAAGAAATCAATAGAGGTTATATTAAATAAGAGTAACATACAAAGCTATAATGAAGATGAAATAATAAAAGACAAAACATTAAAACTGTAAAATTTGCTTGTTAGTTGTTAGAGCCAGTCCTACACTAGGAGTAAGATAATATATACAATTATTTTCAAGTAGATTACTTTATGTTGCTCTAACATGTCCTTTTCATCAGTGCACTGTTAAATTAATCAAAAATTCTACATACTCCCTTACAATAGCAGCATACACACACACACAAACAGCTGTCGTCAGTCTCAAATGACTTGGTGAACAGAAAGGAAATAAAAAGCTGAGAAATAACATATGAAGAAGAAATAATGGGAATTAGAAGATTCATGCCGTTCAGCTCTTTTAATCAGCCAGCCAGCTTGCTAGCAACAAGGGATGGTTTCTGTTGAGGAAGGTCCTGTGGAATGGGAATGTGGTCACCAGTGACCTCCATCTTATCTGGGGCTGCAGTAGGAAGTTGCTTGTTCTTCATTTTTGCTTTGGCTACGTTGTAATCTCCAGAATCAAAATATTTTTGCCCTTTCTGCAATCGTTTCCTTAAGAAATCTGAACCTCCAGGCTTTTGTCCCAGATGAGGATACCTCACTTTTAATTTTGCTTCTTCAACTATCTCTGGACTAGTTACTTTATCTTCCATTTCCTTCTGCTCCTTTGCGGAGGTCGCCTCAGTGATTTCAGCAGACATAGTGCTCCTTCTTACTTCGCTTCTCTGGCTCCGAAGCACTTCCTACTCTGCTCTCTTAATCATGATTCTGCCCTGACTCTGACAGCCTGGAAGGCTTGTTCCAGTGGGTGACCTCTAAGCTGAGATCTATAGACTGCTATACTATCAGTCTCCTGTGGGCACCGACACTTCCTCTAGGAACACCCCCAGCCTACTCTGACTCCAAGATTGGGCTCCCTGCATCCCCAATGTCTGATTAGATTTATAGTTGTTGCCTTTAGTGAAATAAAATTGGATATTCACCTATAAGCCTTGTGACTCCTTTCTTCAAATATAACTAAATAGTGGGGGAAGGGGAGAGCTCAGGGAATCAATCTGTTTTGGGCCCTGCTAACCCTTCAGTTTCAATTTGCACCATGTGCTTTCTGCCCTCCCTGTGCTACACACACCAGCTGCATTTCACTCTGCTTACTGTCATATTCTTTTTACCCCAGCACCCTTTGCAGATGCTGTTCCTTTTGTGTGGATTTCTTTTACATCCTTTATATACACCCTTCCGGGAACTCTGATACCATAGTGCCTAAGGCATTTAGCTGCTAACCAGAAAGCTGGTTCAAATCCATCAGCCACTCCTTGGAAGGAAGATTGGGCAATCTACTTCCATAGTGATATAGCCTCGGAAACCCAAGGAGGGGTCACTATGTGGAGCTCTGGTGGCCTAGTGCCTAAGGCATTTGACTGTTAACCACAAGGTTGATGGTTCAAATCCGCTAGCCACTCCATGGAAGAAAGACTGGGTAATGTACTTCTGTAAAGATTTACTGCCTGAGAAACCCAATGGGGTCACTATGAGTCGGAATCGACTCAATGGCAGTGAGTTTGGTTTATATACACACCTGACTCATCCATGTGACAGGATTAATGTGTTTTTCACATGGGAAGGACATGAAATATTTTTTGGGGAAGACAAAGGCTGGAATGTTACAGATTGAATTGTCTCAAAAGAATATGTGCTCTAGAATAAGAACTCTAACTCTTAATCCTGTGGATATAATCCTGTTGGGAAGTAAAGTTTTTTTTTTTTTTTATGTTAATGCAGCCATACCAATGTTGGGTGGGTCCTAAACCTATTACATATGAGTTATAAAAAGAGCAGATTAGACACAGATGCATGAATAAATAAGACAGGATAGAGGCAAATGAATCTACAAGCCCAGGAATCCCAGATTGCCAGCAGCTACTAGAATCTGAAATAGAAAAAAGACCTTCTCCTAGAGCCACAGTGAGTTCAGTCTTCTGGCTTCCTGAACTGTGAGAAAATAAATCTGTTCTTTAAAGCCACCCACTTACAGTATTTCTGTTACAGCAGCACTAGGTAACTAAGACAATTCACTTCCTCAGAAAAATTTGTGACCTGATTAGGCTCCTTGGGATGTGCCCTCAGGATTGTCTTTTCCTGTGAGGAAATGTCAAAGCTGTACATCTACATTTTGTGTGATTATGATATTGGTCTCTCTCGCTAGAGCCTATGAGTTCTGCCAAGGCAGTGACTCACCATGACATTTTCCCACCATGACATTCTTCAGTTCTGGGGACCACACTGGACACAGTGCCTGGTGTTCCATAGGTGTTCAGAAAATGTTTAGTGAGTGGAAGGATAGGTAGGTGGGCAGTCCCAGCTGCAGTTCCTGGTTGAGCATGTCAGTCACCTCTGGGAGTGACACTTAGAGAAAATCCAAGGTTTCTGCCCAAGAACTGAGAACTGTCTCATGCTGTGTTTACCCAGGACTGTCTCTAAAAAATATCTAGTCCCTCTGCCCTTCCCCCATTCCCCACATTCTCCCCCTTCTCTATTTTCTTAATTCCAGTCACGCCTCAGCGCAGCCTTAGCAGTAAATGCTCCACCCTTTACAGCTGCTTTCATCTTCCTGTCTCCACCCTTAGACTGTCACTTCCCACAGCAGGTGTGCCTACACTCGCTGACACTGCCTCTCGAAGGTTAGGTAAAGTCACGTTAAAGAAGGACTCTGAGTAGGGCAACCAGAGGCAACTCGGGAGGAGGAAACTTGCATCTGATGGCACCGCGTTCTCAGAAATCCGCAGCAGCTCCTACGTACTGGGACTGCACAAGCATGGCACTGACCCTGCACCGACGCTGCCGAAGAGCTTTCCGAGTCACTCGCAGCTGAGAAGTAGCAGTAACAAGGAGAAACACAACTCCGACAACTTCAGAACACAGAGCGCTCTGGAAAGCCAGTTCACGTGCATTCTGGGAAGCTGTTACCCTACTGACGTTCTCGTTGCAACAGCCGCTTCCCTGAAGATAATGAGGAAGAGCTAAGAGGTCCCAAGAAAGAGGTTACTCCCATTTGATAAAATGGGAAGCTGAACCCTACAGGAGGCTTGAGAGAAGTAGATGACAAGCAGGCGCTGGACAGACCCCGGGAGCCCGGGCTGGATGCGCAACCCCGCTCCCGCGCCTGCGCAGTGCAGCCCCTTTCCCCGCTCAACCACGCCCCATCGCCCTGGTTTTCAAATTTGAAACCTGCTTGTTTTCCCGCCCGAATGTGCTTACGAGCGGCGGGAGGAGGTGGGGCCACGAGTCAGCCAATCGAGCCACAGAGGGAGCCACGGGCCAAAGGGCGATCGGCTCCACCCCAGCAGTGCCCTCGTGCGCTGCGGAACCCGGGCTCGCGGGAGGACCTGGCCCCCAGGCCCGCTCGGGATTCCGGGTCTCCAGATTCGCGCGGCGCTGGTCACGAGCTCAGGAACCCTGAGTCATCGGTGCAGAGTGCTTTAGCGAAGAGGGCCCGACAAAGCTCCCCCAGTCTGGGAGTTGGCGGAAGGGCCAGGCTCGGAACTGGTGTCTTGACCAGCCCCGCGGGAGTCTAGGGCTGTCGGGGGCGGTGGGCGGGCGGGCTAATGGAGGGTGAGCTGTGGGGCGGGCGGATTCTGTGGGCGGGCCGGGGCGGGGCCTTGCTCTCTGGGGGCGGGTCCAGGTCCTGTGTTTGTTGCTCCGTGTCAGTTATATTGTAACAAAAGTACTGCAGCACTGCTCTACAGGCATCCCAGGCCAGCCTACCCCCAGCTGTCGCCGACATGGAACCCGTGGCCAGCAACATCCAGGTCCTGCTGCAGGCGGCCGAGTACCTGGAGCGCCGCGAGAGAGGTGAGGAAGAGCCCCTGGCCAGACTTCTTGCCGGGGCCTCGCTGACTCGGGCCTGGACCAGACTTGCTTCCCAACTTAAAGGATTCCTGCCTCGAGCGCAGTCGCCCCAAGGGGCCCCTGCCCTCAGCGCGTACCTCGAGAGAGGTCTTCTGGCGTCGGGCAAGGAGGGATAAGGGAAATGGCCCTGGCGCCAAAAGCCCTTCCCGGACCTGACGCGGGCTGGGGCTCTCTCTGACAGAGGCTGAACATGGCTATGCGTCCCTGTGCCCGCACCGCAGTTCAGGCCTAGTCCACAGGAGGAAGCAGCGAGTCCCCCAAGCTCCCAGCGCGCTGGACAGTGGGCGGTGAGGAGGGCCGGGGGCCGCGGGGCGGGGCGGGGGATGGGCGCTGTCCTGCTTCGTGCCCTCCTCGGCCCACTTCTTCCCAATCGCTTGCATCGTCTGGACCAGGTACCCTGCTCCAGGAAGCATTCATACCCCTCACTTGCTGACCCCCTCTTTCCATCACCCTGAAACATACTCTTTCCGTTCATTCGAAGACTATTTCTTGAGTAGCCCTTCATGTGTCAGGAACTGTAAACAAGTCAGTTCTGGGCCTGCGTCCACTCACACTGCTCCATTCCACACAGCAAATTGCACAGCGGCCTTTGCACATGCTGTTGCCTCCTATCTGAATGCCCCTCCACCCTTTTTTCCCTTTGGGAAACTTATTTCTGGGCTCATAGCAAATGTCTCCTCTGCCTAGGAAGCCCTTGCTGATTGGTGAGCAGGGGCCTCGTATGGACCAGGACTTCAAACCTGTTCATTCCAGTTCGACCTCTTGCTGAGAATTTGCCTTTCTAGCCCAGACATAGTGAATCGTAATCTATTTTAACACTAGCCCCAAGTGATTCTTAGGTATACATAATTCTCTTGGGTATACAACTTGTCTTCAGAGGGTTGAATTCTGGAATGAACCAGTTCAAAACTCTGGTTTGGGCTCCCACAGTCCCAGGGGCAGACCTCAGCATTTGGTTGTGTGTGTGTGTGTGTGTGTGTGTGTGTCTGTCTGTCTGTCTGATTCCCCTGCCTGGGGGCTCTGGACCCCAGGCTATTACCAGGTAGTAATTCCTTTCCCCTTCTCTCTGTCCTTGGCAGGTCTGTACACAACGAGCTGGAGAAGCGAAGGTGAGTCGCAGCCCTGCCCTGACACACAAGGCCCCCCAAACTATTCCCGCTGGCCTCCTACCCACCTTACTATCCCTGTGGCCAGCAATGAGGGCTGGCACTGCCCTCCAGTCCCCTCCCCCTGCAGGAGGGCCCAGCTGAAGCGGTGCCTGGAGCAGCTGAAGCAGCAGATGCCCCTGGGGGCTGACTGTGCCCGATATACCACTCTGAGCCTCCTGCGCAGAGCCAGAGTACACATCCAGGTAAGGGCCACCTATATGCCTGGGTCAGTTTGCCTGGATGCCTGGATGAGTGCATTATGGAGGCATTGAGTAGAACTGGGGAAAGAGGCCTTGTTAAATGGGGAAGAAAAGCATCAAGTAACTCTTGAGTGTTGAGGCTTAAACACATTCAAGCATTAAGTGTTAGCTGTTATTACTGTGATTATTACTTAAGATCCCAGCTGTGAGACCTTGGGTCAGTAAGCCCCTCTGAACTTCCTGCTCCTCTTGTCTGGCAGGGTGGGAGGACTGGTCTGCTGTTGGAAAGCTTCTGTGATAGATCTTATGTAAGGCTCCTTTGGATTGTTAAAGGTTAGTCCTGGCCTTTCCCCACTCCATGTTTCAAGGCCTGCCCTGGGCAGTCTGTCCTGATGCCACTCTGGGAGGCTGCTCCAGAGACCAGGAAAGGAAAGAACAGAGAAAGTGCCAGCCTTGGGTCCTCCCAGGGCCCTGCTGCTGCCTGGGTTGGCCTCAGCGCCCACTGGTGGACAGAAGCAGGTGTGCTGCATCAGAGTGCAAGTTAGTCCTAGAGATGTCATGAGCAGAGGGTCCTGAAATTGAAGGACCTTCTCCCCACCAGGCTCCAGAGCTGAGGAGAGGCAGGTTTAAGGCCCAGATATAGGTCACCTGACTTGCATTCTTTCCTTCAACAAATATCTCCTGAGCATCTGCTCTGCCAGGCACTCTTCTAGGCCAGAGATGTAGTCAGGGGGCACTTGTTCCCAGGTGCAAGTCCAGGGGGGCACAATATGAGGTGCATAATGACATTCTAAGGCACCACAATATGAAAGGTGCCTGACTGAGGCAGCTGGATAAGAAGAGGAAAGGCACTGCTGCTATCTACATTTATTTATCTTGAAACCGAAGGTGAGGGCACAACTTAAAGATTGCCCCTGGGTGCAAGTCTCCATCATACAACCTCAGGCTCCCCTTAGTGACCCCTGCGGTTGACCGTCAGCCCTGTCTCCCCCTCCTGGAGTGCCCTGTTCTACCCTCCATTTCCCAACTTCCCCAACCCTGACTGCTCCAGGGCCAGGGGGGCACCTTTCCCCTTTGGCAACAATGTGACCCAACTTCTCACTAGGAAACTGCCCGGCCTGATTCTCTGCAGGCTTTGCCTGTGGGAGATTTGGGGTTCTTTACTTCCCTAAAGCCCATCGCCCCTTTCCTCAACTCATTTACACTGGCTTCCTCTCCAGGCTCCCTGGTTCCTGTTTTGCCTCCACCAGGTTCTTCCACCTTACCCCAGAATGATCTTTGCAGCATATAGATCTGCCCAGGCTGTCTCCTGCTGAAAACCCTTCAATGGCTCCTGACAGGACCAAATGTCAGTTCCTTACTTCCTGTGAAATTCAAGGCTCTTCACAATTCAGGCCTTGCCACTGGCCTGCCTTATTTGTCGTCTCCCTATCCGTACAAACAAGGCTGAATTCTCCATGCTATTCCAATCCTACCTGTGCCGGGATGGTTTTTCCTCCCTCATCTTTCTGTAGCTCTTACTCCTATCTTTTTATACCCAGTCAAAATGACCCCTTGGCCCAATTCTCCCCATTTTGGTGAATGACTAAATGTCTGCTGAGGGCTCTACATAAGCTTGGTACCTGGGCTCATGCTGAAGGAATGGGTGAACCCCTCTGGCCTTTCAGGCTCTGGGACTTAAGGGCTGGCAGAGCTCAGGTAGGGGTGTGGGAAGGGGAGATGTGAATTTTGAAGACTCAGGTTTCCTGCATTTAGCCTCTAAGGATCTTACCAGGAGTTTGAAATTGGTAGCCCTTGTTTGGTCTGTAGTTTTCTAGAAAAAATTTCAATCAGCTGGCATTACTTAAGATTCAAAGTGAAAAAAGTCTTTTCAGCTTCTCAAAGAAATTGGGAGACCTGGCAGCCCTGCGCCTGTGTTTCTTTGCGCAACAGTTGGCCAGAACCTGCAAGTCGCTGCCTTGAGCTGTGGCATGCACTTGGTAGTTCTCCACAGTCCCTATTGTCTTACACCAAAATACTCTTCTTCTTTAACATCACTTACTAGGCTCAGAAGGCTTTTTGATGGTGGTAGGCCCTACCGCCATCTAGACAACTCACAGGTCATCTAAGTTATGAAAGGGGTTGGAGGGCACTGCCTTTCCAGAAGATGTAGGACAACTGTCAGAGGCTAGATTTAGTTAGCTACCTGCCTGGAGTAGGTGGGGTGCACCATGGCTTGCTGTGAGAGGTTCTGGGGTGAGCCCAAGCCTCTGGGCCCATGGCTGTAACCCCTTGCTCCTTCGGCTTCACAGAAGCTGGAGGAGCAGGAGCGGCGGGCCCAGCGGCTGAAAGAGAAGCTGCGCAGCAGGCAACAGAGCCTGCAACAGCAGTTAGAGCAGCTCCAGGCACCAGCAGGTCTGGGTGAGTGGGAGCGGCTGCGGGCAGACAGCCTGGACTCCTCAGGCCTTTCCTCTGAGCGTTGGGACTCAGACCAAGGTGAGTGCCTTGAGGCTGTGGGTTGGGGGAGGAGGCAGGATGGCCAGGTTTTCTGATGGGGTCCTTCCTGTGCAGAGGAGCTGGAAGTGGATGTGGAGAGCCTTGTGTTTGGGAGCAAAGCAGAGCTGTTTCGGGGCTTCAGCACCGGCAAGGAGCACAGCTACTCACACAGCGATGGTGCCTGGCTATGACCCTTGCTGCTCCAGAGCGGCCTCTGCCCTCTGCTCATGGTGGGCTGACCTGGCCAGGCAGGAGCCCTCCTCCCCAGGTCTCAAGGGCTGCTGGGACTCACCTGTTGGAATGGACTAAAAGGACCTGTGTGTGCAGGTACTCCCTGCCACCCTTGGGCTGGCACCCAGGCAGTCCTTGAGGGGAAGGGGTATGCCTGGGCCACCCTTGAGACCTGCAGCATGGGCAGTTTGAGCCTGGGCTGCCCGTCCAGGCATTTTCTATAGCACTTGGCTCTGCTGCATCCAAGGAGGCAGGAACTCTTCAAACCTCGTTTCTTACCAGGAGAAGGCTCTCTGGCCTTGGCCCCACAGATACTGTATTTTCACTAATAAGTCTTGGCAGTAGAGTGATTAAGTACTCAGCTGCCAACCAACAGACTGGCAATTGAACCCCACCAGCCGTTCCATGGAAGAAAGATGTGGCAGTCTACTTCAACAGATAACAGCCTTGGAGACCTTATAGGGCACTTCTGTCCTGTCCTATAAGGTTGCTATTAACTTGGGGTTTTATCATTAAAAGTTTCTTTTTTTAAAAACTTCCTTTGTCCATGGTCTTGCCTGATGAAAATGAGGAACGCCCAGCCAGAGACCAAGGTGGAAAAGAGGAAGTAAGAGCAACCACCAGGAACTGTGTCCCGGACCAGGCAGTGAGCACTTAAATCCTTCCAGCTCTGAGTCAGGTCCGCCCACTGGGAAGTAGAGGGGTGTGAATTAACTTAAGGTCCAAAGCCAGGACACAATGGAGTTAAGACTCAAACCAAAGCTTGGGCCCCAGAGCTGGACTAATTATATTCAACAAGTATTTATTGAGTGTCTATTATGTGCTAGATACTGTTCAGATACTTGGGACACATCAGAGAGCAAACAGCGATCCCTGCCCTCGTGGAGCTTACAGTCTAGCATTTATAACCATTTCACCTGCACAGTGACCCTGGGCAAGTCTGTACTTCTCTGTGCCTCAACTGCCCAGTGAGGATATAAGTAGGCCTGGCACAGACATGGGCAGTGTGTTTGGTGTCCTGCCAATGCCAAACAGGGTTTCCTGCCCCTACCTCACCCCACCCCCCAGACAATAGATAGGGCTGGAAATTGATTTTTAATAAGAAAGCCCACTAGGTATAGGGCAGAGAGGTTGAAGTGAGATTGTCTGGTGTGTGGTGGTGGTGGTGGTGGTGTTAAGGGCCAGGCTCTCACAAGGCCTGGGCTGGCTATACAAACTGTTGCTGCTGCTGCTGCTGTTTCTTGGTGGCTGCCTTGCTGGCAAGGTCTTTGGCCTTCTCTGTAGCTGCCAGTGCTGTCTCCTTTGCCTTTTCCTTGGCTTCCTTAGCGGTTTCAACAAGTGTTTTAGAAGGGGCCTCACCTGTAGCAAAGGGCAAGGGTCTGGCTTCAGGTGACCCCAAGATGACCCACTTAGTTACCCCCTCTCCTATGGGCCAATACAGACGAGTCTCAAACTGGGACACTGACTGACCCAGGCACCACACCCACCAGGGTGGAGCTGAAACTTGGCCCCAGCTTCTCCCTGTGAGGCTCCCCCCGCACGGTCCAGGGCTCTCACCTTGCAGTTTGGCTAAGATGTATTCAAAACCCTTCATAGTCTTGGTCACGTTGCTTTTAAACCGGGCCAGACCAAATTCCTGGCAAAAGATGAGAGAGGGAAATGTGCTGAGCCCCACTGACCCAGCCTCTAGGCCAAACGCCTTGAAGCTTCAGCAGCTCCCACAATGCTGCTCACCTGGACAGCTCTGGAGACACCAAACAAGCTCGAGGAGACCCAGGCTTCCCGGCGGATTTCGGTCCAGCCGCTGTTATCAGAGTTCACACAGTAAACACAGCGTTCCTCCACCACCTGCGTAAGGAGTCAGCCCAGCCACTTATCTTGGGAGTCTTTCATTTTGCCATCTTGCACAGAAATTTAACCCCCCACCTTTTTTTAACAATGCAAACAATAAAACAAAAATTTATTCTTTCCCTTTAAAGTCTTCCCTAAGGAGTTGCATTTATGGACAGAAAGAAACATACCCATTAAAAAAAGGTCACTGTGCTTTCTAATAACCTCTCTTCTGACCAATTAAACTGTAAGGCACATGGACTTTTCTTTTTTTTTTTCCCCCCTGGTCTTTGTATGAAAATGTCTTTAATTCTGCCCCTTCCCTCATTATGGTATACATATAACTAACAAAACATATACCAACTCAGTAATTTCTACATGTAACAGTACAACAAAGTGCCGCCCAGCCCAGTCCTGGCCTTGGATTTTCTGTTTTTGTATTTTTGTGTCTAGATGTGTAGTGTTAGCTTGTCTTCATCCACTGCAACTCTTGAGTTGACAATCACCACACGTGTCATAATCAGAGAAGAGAAAGTTGGCTAATACTTTGAGGAGGAACACATCTCACAGGGACATAGTACCTCATGGTAGTCATTTGTGATGTCTTCAGATACTATTCAAACAAAACAGTTCTGTTACTGGACTAAGTCACCTGTTCCTTCTGTGACCTTGTAGGACACTTCCCCTCTCTGAACCTCACTTCCCTCTTGCAATGCCAGACTCCCCGTGGTGTTGTAAAGATGAGCTGAGAACAAGAGTTCTTCGAAAACTTCTGGTGTATTCACATGTGAGGAAGATACTCTAGAATGCTTCTTAAACCATGAGTTTTCAACTTTTTTAAGGCAAGGGATCAAATGTATGTGGAACCTCTCTCCCTGAAATGTCAGGCAGCAATCTATTACAAAACAAATAAAAGCAGAACTCTAATCAAAGTAGTAAAAAGCAAAGCCTCACCCTCCCAAGCACACTCAAGGTGCCCTTATGTCTCAATGGACTTGTGTTTGAAACCAATTCCTCATTCCCTCAGAACCAGTCCTTAGTGACACAACCTAAGTGTGTGCCAGGCACATTGCTGAGTGCTTTGTACTGAGTACTTACAACTCTGTAAGACAGGTAGCCTTGCCCCATTGTACATATGAGTCAAAGGATGGGTCTAAAGACTAACCAGCTGAAAAGATAATCTGAGGCTCTACTCCAGAACTATCATGCCTCAGTAACCCAGACATGCTTCAGACCACATGAGCTCCTCCAAGGCTCTCCAGCCATAAGTACCTGAGAACAGCTCTGCTTATGAGGGAGAGGAGCTCACCATCAGCCGGGCGTGGTTGATGTTCCAGGTGAAGGTAGTCATGGTCTGATTTTGTGGGTCCACAATAGAATCTTCCAGGATGTACACCGAGTGAGCAACATTAGCAGGAAACAGTCGCTCCGCCCAGCGGGGCATCCTGTTGGTCTTGGTCAGGAGTCGCCGGGACAGAAGCTTCTGGTCAGGGGTCACCTCCCGGTGTACTATGTCTTCCGTCAAGACATGTTTGCTGCAGGTGACAAAGGTGATCCTCAGGAGTCTTCCCATGATAGGCTGCATGTTGGGGCTTCCACTTGGGGGTTTCCCAGCCCAGACTGGCCATGCTTTCCTGCAATCCTGCACTCTAATCCTGGCTAAGGCCCACACCTAAACTGAGTCCCTTTAGCCTATCCCCAGAGCAAATTCCAACTTTTGCCCTCTCCCTTACCTAGATTCCTGGGCCTTTCATCAGCGCTAGACCTAACGATTTATTGCACCATGGGGGAGAAGAAAGGGGCAAGAGGCCTAATGTCCAACCCCAAGATCTCTCCCAACTCCTGTGCCTCTTCCTGTCACCCCATCCTAAGATATGGGAGCCTTCGACTAAGGATTTACGAAAACCACTGCCCAGGCCCAGCCTCCTTCCAGGACTCTACAGGCCTGGCCTGGATACTTCCTCAATAAAGTCCTCGTGCCCTAAAGAATGCCACAGTTCAAGGATTCTTCCTCTGAGACTCGGTGTCGAATTCTGCCAGCCCCCCTATTTGGGAAGGTCGCCCACCCTTAGATCTCCAAGCATTGAAGGGAGGGTTGATTTTCCAGGTCACTTACCTGTAGGGATTCGGGTACCTCTGCCAGAAGGCGGCGAACACTTGGTCCCAGGAACTCCGGAGCACGCTCTGGCCCAGAAAATACTTCACCATCGTCCCGGCCGGGGTGGGCTCAGCACCCACGCAGCATCAGGGGTGCGGAGCCCGGGGGGCAAGCGGAGGCCGGGCCGGGGCTCGGCGCACGCCCGCCAGGCTGGCAGCTCAGTCACCGTCGTACCGCGCCCTACCCGCCGCCGCCGCCGCCATGAGGAGTAGTCAGGGCGCGCGCCACTTCCGGCGCAGCACCCAACACTTCCGGCGCCGGGGCACGTGACCCCGCAGTCCCGCCCCCTCGCCCTCTCGCCCCCTCCCGCGGGCGGGATTCACAGCGCTGCGGCCAGGAGCTGGGCCGTCGCGGAGCTGGGTTCGGTTAGCAATCCAAACCTACCCTGAGACACAGTAGGGCCGACGTGGGAGCAGGTTGGGCGGCGGCGTGCAGCGCCGAGAAGGGCGCTGCCCCGCGCGCTCCCAGGCCGCTCCGGGTCTTAGTCTCTTTGAAGGAGGATCAGTACCTGGGGCCAAAGATCGGGGGCAGGAGGGGACGCCGTCGAGGTGCGAGGCCGGAGCCGCGGTGTCCGGAATTGCAGCTTGGCGCGAGCCGTCGGGATCGGAGGCTTCGGCGCTGCCTGGGCCGTGCGGAGATCCGGGTTTACCTTCCGTCCCCGCTCTGGACCCCGACGTGGGTGAGGCGGCCCCGGGAGCATGAGCGGGCAGCGCGTGGACGTGAAGGTGGTGATGCTGGGCAAGGAATACGTGGGCAAGACAAGCCTGGTGGAGCGATACGTGCACGACCGCTTCCTCGTGGGGCCCTATCAGAATGTGAGTGCGCCCCGCGGGGCCAGGTGTGTGTGTGTGGGATAGCCCGCAAACGTGGTGCTCATTTCTTTCCCCTCATTGCAGACCATTGGGGCCGCCTTCGTAGCCAAGGTGATGTCCGTTGGAGATCGGACAGTGACTTTGGGTATTTGGGTAAGTCTCCTGGGCAAGAGGTCCTGGGGAAACTCACTCCTGAGAAGGATTAAGCCTGCCCATCACTGGCTTAGGCCCCCAGGCCATTTCTCTTGTCTAGACCCATGTTTGTTTATTTGGAAAATGAAGGTCTGGAGGATGTGGCCATTGTGTGCAGTTTTGGGAGTAGTCTAGCAATTTAAGCTAGAGCTGAGCATCCCCCTGTTCTTCAGGACACTGCAGGCTCTGAGCGCTATGAGGCCATGAGCCGAATCTACTATCGGGGTGCCAAGGCTGCCATCGTGTGCTATGGTAAGGTGGGTTCTTGCCAGTTCCTCAGGTGGGGTGTGTGTGTGTGGGTGCGCGAGTGCGCGCGTGTGCCAGCATACCCAAAGAGATCAGCTCCTGACCCTTTGTTGTATGTCCTGGGTGCCTCACAACTCAAGACCTCACAGACAGCAGCAGCTTTGAGAGAGCAAAGTTCTGGGTGAAGGAACTGCGCAGCCTAGAAGAGGTAGGTGACCACACCTAGCCAAGAAACCTAGGGCTGAGACTCTGGTCTATGAGGGTGACCCTGACCTTGCTTTCTGCCCCAGGGCTGTCAGATCTACCTGTGTGGCACTAAGAGTGATCTGCTGGAGGAAGACCGACGGCGTCGGCGTGTGGACTTCCATGATGTCCAGGACTATGCAGACAGTATTGCTCCTCAGTCCCTAGGGGTTGGAGGGGCGGGGAGGGGGGGGGATGGCTGCTTGGTTGGGTCAGAGAATAGGGACTGCTTGGCTGCCATGGCAGGGTCTCTGAGGCTTTCTAGGCTCCTTGAACCTGTGGGGTTCAGATTTTTCCCGTTTGTGCTATATCCATTTTCCCAGGTATGAGGGTTTAGTCACTTTTCTTTATAGATATCAAAGCTCAGCTCTTTGAAACATCCAGCAAGACTGGCCAGAGTGTGGGTGAGTGTTGTCCTGGGGCCTCCCAGCAGGAACAGGCAGGGGCACCCATGGAAAGAGGCGGCCTTAGAGGGCTGGGTCACTGGATGATTCCAGGGCTGCTGGCATTGGGCCCTTACTGATCGTCCTTTTTCCTGCCAGACGAGCTCTTCCAGAAAGTGGCAGAGGATTACGTCAGTGTGGCTGCCTTCCAGGTGATGACAGGTGTGTGTTTCCCCAGTCTCTGTGGAGACCTCCTCTGGGCCGTTGGCACCTGATCCCCTCAGCGGAATGGTGCTGAGCTGCCATCTCTCTTTAACAGAGGACAAGGGTGTGGACCTGGGCCAGAAGGCAAATCCCTATTTCTACAGCTGTTGTCATCACTGATACACCACCCACCTGGCCTGGGGGAATTAAATGTATTCCCGAGGGGCTAGACCCAGCTCGTCTGGGCTTGGGTGGTCACATGTCTGAGCTACCCCAGGTCCCCATGGCAGCAGAGGTTGCACCTGCCTGTGCTGGCCCATGGTACGGAGGCAGCATTGAGCTGACTGATGGAAACAAGGAGGGCTGAGGGCCGACTTGGACCCCAGGCTTCTACCCTGGACAGCACATTTGTCTGCAGATTATTTAAGTGGCTTCTGACTTGTAAATAAAATCAGTGCACTGTGAATCACACTCAGCCCCTTTCCCTGCTGTGTGGGTATCAAGACGCCTAGCTCTTCCTAGGGCCACCTGACTGGTGTCACTTCCTGTATTAAGGCTACTCCTGTCTCCATTTTCCTTTAAAAGCCAAGTAGCTGAGATACTGGAGAGAGAGAGTACCCTTTTCTGTTCTTTAATCAGGTAAAGACGGGGTGAGAGGCTGGAGTTGGGGTAGTGCAAAGCTCACTGTTCCTTCTGGGTGCCCAGAAAAGCAAGGGGTGCAGTTAAGTGCCTTGAGACAGGTTGGTCTGGCTGGCTGCATCTGTCATGTCTGAACCCGAGTCAGGTCCTGAGCTTCCCAGTAACATCCTATAATGTGACTTAATGGTGGAAAGGTTATACATTCTGTGAGACAGGAAAGTCTTAAGGACACAGATTCTGATCCTATTTAGTTACTGTATCAGAAAACAGATTTAAACTCCAGCTGAATTTCTGTAAAGTAAGATGACTACTGTCTAGCTCAGGTTTATTTACAGTCTAAGTGACTAAGTACTACATACTCATCTTCCTGTTCTCCCTTGAGGGGTTATGCTGAATGAAGTTAGCTGTTCTCCCTTGAGGGGTTTTGCTGAATGAAGTTAGGACTGGGTTAAAAAGAGGGTCAAATTCTCTCAGTTCCGAACGCATATTTTTGGGCTTAGAAGTTGAAGCATTTCTGAAGAATCAGGTGTTACTGTAAACAGGATGAAGCTTCCTTTGCAACCAAAAGGAACTGTATTGCAGCCCTTTCCGTCCTGGAAGGTGTGGCCTCATCTTCCTTTTCACCCTTGGCCTCTGCTTTCCTACATTAGGCCTAGGCAGGTGCCCAACACCTGCCTCTGAAGAATGAAAAATTTGACCAAGATGGTGAAATTCTTGCTCAGAAAGTGCTTTGGTTCCACTTCCTTTTTAAAAACCAATTCCTCAAAATACTCTTCCTTTATGGGTGATGGAGCCTTCCTGTAGAGGGACTAAAACTGACACCAGCCACTCCCAAAAGGACAGAAAGACCCTTAGGCAGCCAGTCACAACAGGGAGGAAACCCATGTAGTTTACCCCATGGTATGTTTGGAGGAAGGGCTCGGCTCTAGCATGTCTCCACCTTAGGAACTAACTGGGGGTAGCTTCTGCTCTTACCCCAACCAGTCCACCCTTCTGTTAGACTACATCTCCCCACGGACAAGAAAACAAAACACAGGGCAAGGGCCATAAGAGTAAAGTTAAACTTTACTTTACAGTAATTATTTTTCTATATACAAAGAATTACAGTACATGTTCATGGGGACTCCTAGCATAGGGCTCCCCTCTTCTTCACTAGGAGTTTCACTTACAGCTGACAATCTGTGGGGGAGGGGGCAAAAAATGTGATGGATCTCGGCTATCCCCTCCCCCACCCCTTTCTTAAAAATATAAAGACAAATCTCTATTGTCAGCTTGTTTCTTTGCCAAGACCTAGAAAGCTGCTCTTCCATGAGCTCCTGTGTGCTGTAGTCGACCACATTTAGCACTCTCACCTACATGCACACACAGGCAGCACCCTGCAGACCTGGAGAGCCTCCACTCTGCCCTACCCCAGAAGTTTATGGCCACCAGAGCCCTGGGTCTCCACTCTTGCTCCCTGTTGCACACTTCCTACCCTCAAAAAGCTCTGCTTGACTTTCAGGGGTTACTTCCAAAGCCCCCAAAGCCTGATGTTTGCAAAGTGGTGGGAAAGCAGCTCTAGCAGAGAGACCACATAAGAGTTTAACATGCTGTTTTCGCTTACGTCGTTGGGAAACATTTCTTCCTAGGTTGTGGATTTCTAATTAAAATAAACTCTTTCCACTTCCTTAAGAAATGTTACCCTTAATCTTCATAAGCAACAGAGGTGCTCCCATGAGGTAGAGATGGGGTAGAAGGTAACCAAGGGAGACCCACCCCCAAGAGCTCTCTACCAGCCTGTTCCAGGCAGTGAATGGAGGCTATGGTCATGGTGAAACTGGCTCTGAGGAACTTGCAGGCCACCGTGATAAGGACTCGGGCTCTCCTCTACCTCTGGATTCCACTGGGCCATTCCAGGACTGGGTCTAGGCTTCACTGAGGCTCTGCTTTCTCTTACCTCTACCAGAGCCTCAAAGAAACCTTTCTACACAAAACTTACTCTCAAATAAGGAACCCAGTTTCTCAAGTTGCCAGTCCCTCATTCCTTGGCAGTGCTTATTTATACCAGGAAATTAGCACCATTGCATTTTTGTGTACAAAGTTATTTTCTATTATTTCAGTTTCTACTACAGCATCCTCTGGCCCTGCTGAAGTGGCCCTTGGAAGCTCAGCTGAGCATTAACTGGCCATAGCCAATGAAAGTCTCCTGTAGCAGCTACCTAGCTCTAAGTGATCTGGAATGTCTAACACTGGAGCAGCACACATGCTACTCAGCAGGAAAGGAGACTTGAGGGAGCACTTTTCCTGCCATTATCTCAGAGAGATTCTGACACTGGGCCATCTCTTGACAAATTCCAAAAGGATGACAATTTCCCAAAAGCCTTAGGAGAAAACCTGCTTTGTAGGACCCAAGGGCAGAATCTGTGCAGATACAGTACTTTCTGGATTACTCTCTACAGGGGAAGCTGCGCGATTAGACTTCCTTTCTACGCTGTGTTCTTACAAGGCAACCTTAGAACATACAACCTGGCTCCAGTGACAGATGTGCCAACTCTGGGAAAGGCATTCCAAGGCACTCCATGCCCTGAACCTGGGGTGGTGTAGAGAATGTCATATGGAGGGTAAAATAGTTATTTTCATCAAGCTAAAAATGTGGGTGTGATCATCATTCAGGAGAGGAACTACAGACGATTTAAATCATCTCAAACTCAAATCATCTCAAACTCATTAACTTCAGAGGAAATTAAACATCTAAAAACATGGATACTTTTGCAACAATGACAACTAGTTTGCTACCAGAATGGGTTGGTTGCAGTAAGAGGAGTCACTGACACTTGGAATACAAATTCAATAATTTTCGTAATTTTTTTCCTGACCTGACAGGGCTAGGAAGGTACTCTAGATACCTCTGGAGTAATCCCATCTTGGTTGCCTCCTGGAAAAAGTCCCTGGGTAGCTAACTTGGCAGACTCTCTTGAGAGCCTATGATATCCAAGCAGTTGGCCAAACACCAAAATACCACCATGTACAAAAATCAGAAATTTCTAAGAAAAGGATTTCCTTTCATTGCCAATCCATATCCCCTTGAGGGAAGGTCTCATTTACAGGCTTCTAGGGAATTCATGAGGGCCAGCAATGTCACTCCCTACCTTCAAGCACAGTTCAATTTCCCAACACTTGACCTGATTTTGCAGTTAATTTTTACAGGGACTGTTTTCATGATCTTAACCTAAGATCAGGTACTGCTACCAGTGGGCCCGATAGGTCAACTTTCTACTTTCCATTCAACAACCTGAGTTTTTCCAATGGCCCTGGACAGAAGCCTGGTTATATCAATGCATTTAGATGAGGGAATGCCCCTAAAGCCAAGCTCAGCTCAGATATTGTTTTCTCAGGCAGGTCTGGAATGAAGTTTGCAGTGAATGGAGGAGAGTGGAAAGAAAAAAGAAAACCACAAAGTGGCCAGTCACAGCCCTACCTTCCCCTCAATCCTTTCTGTCCTGTGAGACATTTCCAGAGTGGCTGGCTGTCAAGTCAAACACCAACCAAAGCCGATGTCAGGGAAGCTACTTCAGGATAAAACTTCACTGAAAAAGTTTACAAAGCCTGCACCCTCCCCCCAAAAAATTCACAGTTTATTTCATGAAACAAAGAGCTACGGTAATTTAACACACAACATAGTGGAAAGGAGATTCTGACAGTCCAGTGCAGATTATCTTGTTCTGCTCACAACTACAGATGACAGGAGAATAAAGGGCACCACAGGACTGGCACCAAACAAACCCTACTCATACAACCTAATAGATTAGAGAAAAGGACCTACTAGCTGAAGTTACATACTTATTCTCACACATGATAAATACTTAATATAATGAACTTTAATGTTCTTGGGTGGATTTCTTTAAAAATATCTTTTTCATGGTTTAAAATTCTTTTAAAAGAAAATAAGATGCTTTATGCTTTCTCTTTCTTTTGAACAAAGAGCTTTCCCCTCTCTGATGGTCTGGGAAAAGATACAGAATGAAAAGGGAGAACTAGGCAAGTGGAATTCAGAGAGGCGATTCCGAGGTCTAAGTGAGATGCAGGGATAGGCCCCTCAACTCAGGTCAGCCCTACCCTACCTTGTCCTTCTGCCTGAGTTCAAGTGTCTCATCCCGAGAGACAGACTTTGGGAAATAAAAGCAGATTTCTTTTAAAAATCTTAATATAAAGCGCAAATGCTTCTATAACAACTATTCCCTCCTTGGAAGTGATGGGAATAACCACTATAGGAACTTAGGAGGAAACAAGGACAAAATACAGAATCCTGCTGAGGGTGTAAAAGCCCTAACAAGCAGAATAGCCAGGAGATGTTTGGGCCTAGAGATGGCCTGTTGGCTAAAGCTGCTGGCTAAGTTGGCAAAGCAGAGAGGTAAACATGTTTGGTCTAGGGACAAAGGAGGAGTGGATAAATGGGAGGGAACTGGCCAAACAGCTCTTCCTGTTGGCAGTCAGTGAGCTGGGTGAATGGCAGGGCAGGGTAGCACCAACAGATTTCCCAGCCCTTGGGCCCCAGCTCTGGGCAGCAGTAATAGATCATCAGCAGTTATGAAAAAACATCTTCGACTAGACACTGCTCTGAACACCATGGAACCAGTCTTGCCAGTCTTAGGGGAAGCGTTCTGGCTTGGCTTTGAGCTAAGTCAGCAGGCAGGTGCTCTCAATACAGAGCACAGCAATTCTCAGAGAGGAATGGGAAAACAATAATTCCCTCCACTCAGGTGGACAAAGAATAGGGGGAAAGCAAGTAATTTCCCATTAAGATCTGGCAATTTCCCTGAAGCTGGGGTATCTAGCTCAGAGATTGCACAAGTTCCCCATGTCCACTGCCCGACACTTAAATGTGAAAGCACCTGGGTGTTTAGGGCAGGGATGGGGTGGGGGTGGTTGTTGCTATGTGCTGTCGAGTCGGACCCGACTCATAGCGACCCCTCCTTGGGTTTCCGAGGCAGTATCACTACAGAAGTAGATTGCCCAACCTTCCTTCCGAGGAGTGGCTGGTAGGTTTGAACCACCAGCCTTCTGGTTAGCAGTCAAGTGCCTTAGGCACTACGCTACCAGAGCTCCCGGAATGGGGTGGATTCATGTAAAAAGAAGAATCGGTAGAAAAGAAAGGTAAGCTTGCCAATTGCCTGGTTCTGCTTCTGGAAAGCTACAGTCTCTTAAAGCCCAGATCCCCTTAACCAGATCATCCACCAATCTTAAGCAGATCTTCAGAGCCTGCACAGCCCAGATGGAATCAGCAGTGGCTGCCTCAGCAACAGCCCCACTTAGCATTGATGCAGCAACCTCTCCTCTACAGAGGAGATACTTGTGAGTGTTCTTACAGGTACACATCCTCAGGCACACCCCAACCAGGAGACATTTACTAAACACAATCACTTCTCAGTCCACAAAGAGCATTTCTTTTGAGTCAGGAGATCCATGGCCCTCAGCATTTTTTTTTTTTTTCCCCTCCTTTTTCCTGGTTAAAGGTTCTGGGCAGCCTGGGAAGCCAGGCAGACATGTTAGGCTCCCAGGAATCAGGCCTTACTTATCTCTGTGTAATGGACTAGCACTGGCCTAGCACACATGAGCCACTGAACATCATTTCCTCCCAAGATTCTTCAGTTGCCCTCAATGGAACTCTGTAGGGCTGGGAAAACAGCTTTGCGAGCCCCCTACCTTGTAACCTCACCAGCGGAATTGAATTCCATGCTTGACTCCAGAGTGGACTTTTATTTCAAGTTTACCATGTGTAAAGGTTGTGGGAAAGAGACCCAAGTCTGTCTGTCCCCTTGGCTGGGGCCTACCTGGATTTCCATACATGGTTTACACAACCATAAGCCCCCACTAGCTAATGTCACAAGAGTTTCTGAGTGTTGAGATATAAGGAAAGCATAACAATGGAAAAGTGTTGGGGGGTATGTCTGTTTTTTAAGGGGGAAACGAAAAGATTTTCCCTCCCCAAATGGTACCCTGGGGGCAGTTTGTCTGGCCATGATGTTTACTAGTATTATTTCTGTTCTGATTCTGCACACTTGTGACTGGAAGGAGCCTGGTTAAGAGCTGGAACTGTATTTTGCTCTGGTTTAGGGTCTTGCCCTCTTCCAAGAGACCAGCAAGTCTGTGCCAATGTCTGTGTGTTCGCAGAGGACCAGCATGACTGTGTCAGTGTCTGTCCAGCCACCATGGGCCAGAGCCCTGGTCCCAGGGAGGCCTTTCCTAGGACCCAGGGACTCTGCTCTGTGGTAGCCAATTTCTCCTCAGTGGGGAGAGAGGCTTGGGCATTCCCAAGAGACCTGAAGGACTGCCCACTCAGTGTTGTCCCTTTGGCAGCAAGTCCAGGTAGTTGCTGGCCTCCAGTCATCTGCTTCACCAAGCCTGGGGCTTGGCTGGGAAGCCCTGGGGTCTTCTCAGCCTCTGCAGGTGCTCTTCCGGAGGCCTGAGTTGCTGGCTCATATAAAAAAGCCTTGGCAGGAGGCTGAGAAAGAAGTCTGGGTTGGGAGAGTGATTTAACAGCTTGCCAGGGATGCTTTGAAGGGGTTGCTGCTTTCCCAGGTGGTGAGAGTACAGGGTCTGACACGCTACCCTTCTCACCAGCTCGAGGCATCTGCCCCAGAACTTTGCCAGCAGGCCAAGAGCTTGACTCCAAAACTGGCATCTTCTCATCGGCCTGTGGTGTGCCCTCCTGAGGAGAAGGTGCCCGCTCCTTCTGGCGAGGAGTTAGGTCTATGAGATCCATAACCAAAGCAGCTCTATTTTTTGACTGAGTATTCTGGTCCACAGGCCTCAGTGCTTTTTCTTTAGCAACAAGGGTCTGGACCACAGCTGATAGTACTTTCTCAGGAGGTGGGAGTCTCTGGGACAGAGAGGCATGGGATTTGTCAAGGGGCCTGTCTGAAGTCTGGGTTTTGGGACCACTGGTGATTAGGAGTCTGTCTGGCGGTGTAAGTCTCAGGCCAGCAGGGACTGGGGCTTTCTCCAATGGCTGAGGCCTTGGGCTGGCAGCACCTATTGATTTATCCAGCCTTGAGCCAGGCGTACCCAGAGATCTTTCCAGTGGTTGGGACCTGACTGAAGGTGAGGAACTTGGGCCGGTCACTGAAGAGGGTTTGTCAGAGAGCTGGGGTCTTGGTCCTGCTATTGCAGGAGACTTGTCCACTGGCCTCTGACTGGATCCCAAGGATTGGAGTTTGGTCCCTGGCCCAGCAAGGTCCCTGACCCGATCTAAAGGCTGAGGCCTACAGTCAGTTCTCTCAAGAGGTCTTTCAGGCAGCGGTGGCCTCTGACAAGTTCCTGCCAGAGCTTTTTTGGACAGTGACGATGTCTGGTTGGTGTCAGCAGGTGGCTTTTCCGACATCTTGGGCCCCTGAGCAGCCATTCCTGATGATTGCTCTGCTGGGTGAGAGCTTGGGCCTGGAGGCAGCGGTACTGGGGGAGGCACATACTCACGGATCTCCCCGGGTTCCAGAGGGTTGGGCCCACAGGGGTCATGCTCAGTACAAGACAGACGCCCATCCAGTTTGGAGATGAAGAGCATTCCTTCCCGATGCTGCTTGCAAAAGGAACTGGGGCACATTTCACAGAAGGAGGCTGCTTCCTTCCCACAGATGTCACACTGATGCCAAGGACACTCCCATTTTCCTGAAAATATAAGAGTAAAACAAAAGCTTAGGAAAATAAGATATGCCATCTGTGGCCTTAAGGAATTTCAAAGCCTCTTTCAAATTGCTACCTTCTTCAGAGCATTTATGCCATTTACCTGATTGCTCCCTTTCCCTAGAATTTCAGTTTCCTCTTCTGTACAAAACAACACATAAAAATAGGGAAGTATCAAATAGAAACTAAGTATAAACTAAATATACTCCACTAAATATAGTGGAGGACTAAGTCTATATTTCTATGACTATTCCAACCAAAGAAGAGAAGGGAAACAATAAAACAAAAAGCTCCCCCCAATACTAACTTTTTGTCTTATTCAGCCTTTAAATATTTACACTCCAGTTTACTTGGTTACTAACAAGGATAGGAAAAAGGTATACAAGATATACAAAAGATATACAGTTTACCTTTGCTTAGTTTTAAATCTCGAAATAGCACAAAAATCTACCAGCACTGTCCACACAGAACTGTGAACAAGATCCAAAGCTAACTTTCTATTATTTCACGAATTTCCGTTATTTCATGTTGCTACCATGGACAGTATTTCCACCTTCATCTCCCTACCAATGATCTATGTGAAACTTCACTCTTAGCTCACAGGCAAGATCAGTTCCGTCACAACCTGTGAAAGCTACAGTCCTGACTGACCAATTCTGAAATGACTCCTCATTTCATTTCCTGGCACTAACAGGTCAATGCTACCTAATTTCCGTTATTTCATTACTCTAGCACATTGAGGGAAAGTCAATTCAGGGACAAAAATCTTTCATTCCAACCCCAAAGTTCTTCTCTCTGCAATTCTGGAAAGTAGGCTAGTTAGTATAATCTCATCCTTCTGGTTTCTCTCCTTTATCCCTAAAAATAGATGGCATATCCATATCCCTAAAATTCTCTAACCCCAAATCACCACTCCAAAGTCAGTGACTTCTCCAACCACAAATTACTGTGAACCACATCTGCTCAGCAGCTATCTCAGGTGTGCACAGATACACTCACATCACCCCCAGAGAAAGAGTCTACTTTATAAAGTAAAGGGTGGGCTCTGGTCATACCATGGCTAATGCATTTGGCTGCTAACCAAAACTTTGGCAGTTTGAACCCAACAGCTGCTCTGTAGGAGAAAGATGAAGCAGCCTGCTTTGATACAGATTTACAGCCTTAGAAAAAACAAAGGGGGTTGTTATGAGTTGGAATCGACCTGATGATAGTAAGTTTGCTTTTTAGGTTTTACAATGGAAGTGGCTCAGGGCGGGAGAAAGGGAAGATTGATAGGGTGTCAGTACAGGTCTCACTGACTAAAAGGGCCTGAAGGCTCCACTGTGTTCCATCTTTTTCCTCCAGAAAGGCCATGAAGCCAGAAACCCCAGCTTTCAATCTAACGCCTCTATCTGTCTGCTCTGATAAGACCAACCAGTCATTTCACCAGTCTTGACTTTCAGTTTTATCATCTACACCATGAAGAGAAGACCTACTTCAGTGGGTTGCTGTGAGGATGAAATGACATAAATGTCACTTTCATGCAGTGGTGAGTTCCTGTCTTTTCTGTGACCTAATATTCCAGACATTTCTTGTCATTTATTTCAAGAATGAGAACTAGACCATACTCCTTCAACACTACGCATGGAAAACCAAAGGACACTTTCTTCCAGACTGAAGTTAACAGCATGAGGTCCTGAGAATTCTGACAGAGAATAAGCAGCGCTCAGAGGAATTTTGGCACAAACCTGCTGGGCGCTTGGTTAGATTGAGACAGTCTGCATGGTAGACTTTTGGGCAGCCAGGCTTCTTGCAAGAGACGAGCTGCCCAGCATCCCCACAGCTGAAGCACTCATCCTCTCGCTCCTTTGTTACTTCACCTTGGGTTCTGCGCTTCCCTTGCTGTTTCTTCTTGAATTTCTTGGACTTTTCTTCTGTGGCTATGGGCTGATTCTAGAAACCAGATATTCAGAGTCAGCATTCTGTTTATTTCTATCAATACAATAGTTGTACCATGGTGACCAGGTTACCTATCCTCTCTCTTAGCTGTCTCTGGAAAGATAGTCACCATCGGACCGTTGTAAAGATAAAAGGCAGACAAGGCACACTATCAGTACTAATAACTGGTAGCATTAATCACCACTTTTATGTCAAATTAGGTTAAGTTCTACCACTCCCCAAGCCAGACCATGGTGCAACCAGCAGGTTTCCTCAACATTTCCTGCAGCCCACACTTTGTCATCAGATCCTATGGTTTTCATCCCATTATTCCTCTTATTCCTATTCCCATTAGCCTAGAAACATCCAGGACCAATAATCCAAGGCTTAATTAAGTGTCTTCTATTCTAAGAGTGCCATGTTTACTCCTAGTCCACGGTGATTTGCTTTCATTTCTAAACTTTTCAAGCATTTCTCTCAATGATTCACATGTGAAGCGCTGCCCTATATAGACCTCAAGGAGGCAGAACTGATATCCCTAGTACAGTTAACACTTTTAACTAATGGGTGAAGTCAATTACTAATTTATAGGAAACAAGTCAGCTGAGAAAAAGAGCATTTAACCAACCAAACAAAAAAGAAAACCCAATATAATTAAAGATGACTTTTCTTATGTAAGAAGATAGAAGAGTAATTAATGCATGTTCTTTATCTTCATGTGGTAATGCTTAAAATGAGTAACTCACTTTCTTACTGGCTTCTATGCTAATTAGCCTTTATTAAGTACTTAGTGCTAAGCTTCATAATCAAAAAAGCGTAACAGGAAATACCCAGTTGGAGTCACTGCACAGTATACTCTGCAACAAAATTAAACTTCAGTTTTTTGTGTGCTTTTACATAGGATAGAGAAATATGGAATCATCAGATGTTCATCTATTTTGGTCCTATTCATTATATGGAAAAATAAATAGTCCCTAAAAACGTTAGTTAAAAGACTATGTTATAGCAAGGAAGAATTAGAATATTTAAGAAAAGCAGTATACAGATTTGTAAATGACTCTCAATATAGAATTACAATCGGTTAAATGCACCTAAGTAGTTTATTAGGAGATGTGAAGGAGATCAGTGACCAGATTTCTATTTTCACCTTACAGCTTCTTAAGTATGAAGGCTATTGTCAAATATAGTCAAATTTCTCAAAACACTTCAACAATACCCAAAAATCTTCAGTTATGTAACCAAATTAATCACAAGTATACTGAAGTAAATTGCCAATGGCTCTATTAACATCTGTTCAATGTCATAATTTCAGAAATATCTCCTAAAGACAAAGACCCAGCCCTGATACTGGTATGGAGAGGAATACTGCACCAGTATTTCCAATGCAGAAGTTTGGAAGGATTGTACCTTTGGTCTTACACCCAGGAAGCCACTACAGTTTGGGGCTCCACATTTACAAACAGTTTTTCCATTCCCAAGACATTCCAGGTTGTAGTTGAAGGTAAGTTCTGTGCCTGTATAAGAGAATGTGAAAATGTTCATTAATATCCATAGCTTTAATAATATTATATTTGTAATAATCACAAAGGATAGTGACTTCTAAGAGAACTGATTGACATTTAAAAAAAAAAAGGACAGAAAAGAGAATTTATTAAGTCTAATCCTACTGTATTAATAAATTATAATCCTGAAAAACTATTAATCAGCTACTACAATTAAATAACAAAAAATTTAAAATGACTTTATAAGGAATAGTTAAAATAACTTTTACTATACGTTTTAATTGGGAGCTCTAGTAGCGTAGTGCCTAAGGCACCTGACTGCTAACCAGAAGGCTAGCAGTTCAAACCCACCAGCCACTCCTCAAAAGGAAGATGGGGCAATCTACTTCCATAGTGATACTGCCTCGGAAACCCAAGGAGGGGTTGCTATGAGTCGGGTCCGACTCGATGGCACATAACAACGACAGGTGTTAATTACCAAGTTTTTTTCCCCCCGATACAAGTTCAAAATACATTAATTTATAATAATAAAATAAAAATATGCAACTTATTGTACATCAAGGTGCCAGACACTAGGTTGCAAGTATGAAGAAAACCTGTCAATCTGTGCCAAGGTGAGAATATCTTCCTTAGCAGAAGCCAAGGGAGAACCATCTCAGTACAGAGTAAGAATAGACAGCTCTGGACCAGATGTCACTCTTGGCTTCACATCACAATTACATCGTGACGTTGCTGGGTCAAGACATGTAATGCTGAGAACTGAGTAGCTCATTTTTGAAATGGAGAAACTCATTTTAAAAAACTGTGTCCGTCTTTGTACATTTCAAGATTTATAAAGTTTAGAAAAGGGTATCGTGTGTGTGTGTGTGTGTGCGTGTGTGTGTATAATCTAATCAAAACATTGGGAGCTCTGGTAGCGTAGTACCTAAAGCACTTCACTGCTAACCAGAAGGCTGCTGGTTCAAACCAGCCAGCCACTCCTTGGAAGGAAGATGAGGCAATCTACTTCTGTAGTGATACTGCCTCGGACACCCAAGGAGGGGTTACTATGAGTTGGGTCCAACTCGAGTGCAAACAACAATACACCAACAACAATCAAAACATTGAAACTACATTTTTTAGTTAGTTCTTTAAATATATGAAAAATAACTTTGCTGTCAAATCATTCAACTTTATCAGACTTTCAAGTCAAATGAACATCTTAGTATTTGTCCTTAATACAACCACTTGGCTACATTCTAATTCCTAGAGACAAAGACAGACTAAGGCAGAACCTACGCATTCCTCCAATGTCAGGTTCTGTGGTGTTTGAAAGGTGAGGGCCTACAGCCCTTAAGAAGACTCGGAGGAGTCAGGGTTGAGTTTGCAAAATGAGAGAAGGGCAACTGTGAAAGCTAAGGTGAGAAAGGATACCTGGACAGCTGGTGCTTCAGGCAGACCAATTTTTGGAGAGTTCATATAAAAGTGAAAGGTCTGGAAATTTATTTCCTTAAAACCATCCAAGTCAAAATGCTGCTGTTGTTAGGTGTCATCAAGTCAGCTCAGACTCATAGCGACCCTATGAGCCAAAATACCCCCTGAAAAGTCTTCATGTATCCTTAAAAGTTTGCATACCTCATTTTGGAGTTCAGGAGATATGGAATTTTTAGATGACAAAACCTAAAGTTCAGTTTATTCAGCTCCAGATTTCACACATCCTTAATTTAATCTTACCTGCTTTGATGTCACTCAGGGCAAAAAGGCCAACACGAGTATCTCCATTCACAGACCACTTCTGTGTTTCACAGTTGGGCTGGCAGCAATGATTCATGAATCGAGCATAGTTTCCTTTGGGACCAGCATCAATGATCCGGTCCTACAATCCCAAGAGAAGCTACTCATCAGACTTCCTGAGATCTCTGATATAGTTGATTAAAATTATGATTAAGCTCTATAACAAGGTAGAGTTCCTCTTTAATGAATCCCCTGGAGAAGTAATTCTCCAACTGTAGTCCCTGTACTAGTAGCAGTAGTGTCACCATCTGGGAACTTGTTAGAAATAAAAATTCTTGGGTTTTATTCCAGATACACCGAAGCTGAAACTCTGAGGTAGGGCCCAGCGACGTGTGATATAAATAAGCTCACCAGATGATTATGATATATGCTAATGTTTGAGAAACACTGCCCCAGAAGCAGCAGCAGCAGCAGCAGCAGCAACAGCTTGTCCCACCCTGTAATTAGGCCATTCTCAACCTTGGCTACAAATTTGAAATCACCTAAGGAAACTTAAATACTAATGTCCATGCCCCATCTCAGACCAAGTGAATCAGAATACCTGAAAGTAAGGACATCATAACACATAAGTGTACAACTTGACGCATGTCTGTGAAGTTATAAATCAGAAAAGGATTCTGTTATAAAGGCTAGTGGGAAGGAAGAAAAAAAAAAAAAGCTAGTGGCATCTAATATTAAGATACAAAGTAGAATTTCAGACATACAGAAAATAAACACACTAGAATGCTGAAATTAGGATTAAGTCCCCAATACATTCCTAGACACCAATAAAATAAAGCTCATCATTAAATTCCTGTAATTTGCATACTTTCCATTACTTACTTTGTCTAGAGTTAGCATATAGAAATTAGTGATATCGTGTTCTTGGGCATAACGAATTCGAGCTCTGCACTCTTCTTCATCTATTAGCTCACCCACATATTCATTCACAAATTCACCCTAGAACAAGAAATAACTCTTGACTTAATGGCAAAAAATTCACTGGGTTTACACATCTCACTTTTAAAAAGATGAAAATGCCAGATTCTCTTAAGCAGATTATGTGCATGTAATTAATTAAAAAAAAAAAGTTTATTCAGAAATAACTTTAAATATGGCTCAACTATCTGACAGTGAAATCCACCTTCCCATTCCTACTACCAGAAAGATTAGGATACACCAGACACTAAAGAACAGATAGAATGGAATGATTAGCAAGCAAACTAAGGCTCCATTACACAAGAGATACAGACAATTGAACAATATACCAGCCCAGGAACCTGAGTTCATTTCCTTGAACTGGATTCTTACTTGGAACGTGCCCTGGCTGCTCCCCACTGTCCTTACACATGACACTACAACTACACTGGCTTTCAAACATGCTGTCCTTCTACTTGTACTGTTTTCACTTTCTGAGCCAACAACTACTTGTATTTCAAATCTCAATTTAAAATTATATCCTCAGAGACAGACTAATATCAGTCCCTTTGCCACAAGCTTCCAAAGCACTGAATGTTTCCATATTGAGTGATTAGTTGTTCAATGTCTGTCTCCCTGACTCTACAATGTAAATTTCATTTAAGAATGGAATATATATTTTCTGTATTGATTGTTGCATCCCAGGTACTACATCTGGATGAGAATAAATCTGTAATAACTACTTAGCAAATGAGTAAGAAACTAAACCATATTCACTGCTTTTCCTATAAAACAAACTTTAATACAGCTCTTCAGAAAGAATAAAAGAATAAGGTTTAATTTACTAGGATGTCAAATAAAGTTTATTTTACACAGAGCATATAATATGTCAATTTATTAGCAATGTACAGCTCCTTCCAAGTTTCAAGCTGAAAATGTTACCATACTTTTATTAGAGAAAGACTCTTCTCCTTAACGTTCCATGAACCCAAAACTATTTTTTCCTTCATTAATAGGTGATTAACACCTCTATCACATACTTATATCCTACTGGTTCCAGGATTTTCACAAAAGAGCAAATAAAGACATAACAACTCCATGAACTTCCTTATTTTCCTTAATCCTCAAACATAGTAAACAGGATCAATATTGAGAACTTTAGAGACAAAGAAGACCGTCCACTCACAAGCATCCAAACTTAGGAAGGAAAAGGTGAGACCAAATAATATTAATCCCTAAATGCTTAATTTTCCTCTATAGTGAATTTTCTCATACTCAAGAAAAATTAATCATGTTAAAAACTGCAATGAACAAGAAAATCCTAGTAATCCAGAAAAGTTTCCCTCACCTTTTTAATATCTGTTTTTGTACGGAGGCCCCAGCCCCTCTGCAATGTGCGGAAAATTTCAACCTCTGGATACTGGCGCTTGGTGAAGCACTGGTTTTGGCAGCGCCCTCCAGCAGGACATACTGTAGGATGGCACTCATAAAGGAGCATGCGGTTGATGCACTCAGAGTCTATTCCACAAGGGTTCTCATCAGTAGCTTTACAGTTGCAACGAGGAATTTCAGACAAGTCCGCAGTGAAGATCTGTACCCTGCCAATAGGACGATTCACCTGGAGAAGAAGCACACAACATAGTACACAAGGCAAGTAAATAAAAGACCATTTAGGGTCTGAAAAAGGAAGATTTTTTGTCCTTGAAGTTGCATTCCACATCTTACACGATTTACAACTATCAAGATTTGGATAGTTTGATATAAAAATAAAGCCTATTTGACATACAAAATATGAATCCCACAAAAAAACTTTTTCTTAAATTCATTTTAAAAAAAAGTCTTAATTTCAAAGGTGAAAGGCTAACTGATTTCTAAACTGGCTTTCTGCTATTGCCACAGGGTGGTAACACTTTACACGCTATATGAAAATTTCCACTAATTATTGGCATAAAATCTTTTTTGAGTGGGAAAATTGACATTCCACATGCAGAAAAATGAAACAGGATCCACGTACAAATTCAAAATGGATTAAGGACTTAAAAGTGCAAACAAGGACTTCCGGTAAGATGGAGGAATAGGCAGACAAGCTAAACAGACACTATTCAACAAAGAAAAGAGAAACCAATTGACACAGACACAGAAGATATCCTGAAGTCCTGAGCTTTGAAAGGAACGATACAGAAGTAGATTAAACACCACCTAGTAGAAAAACCTGGATGAAAATAGTGAATAAGGAGACAAATAGAGCTGCAGACTGTGAGCTATCCTGATGGCATGGACAATAACCTGAATATTTCCAAGTGGTGTTAGGCCCTGAGAATAAATCTAAAAATTGGCCCTGCTCACCAAGGGCTGCATGGACAACTGTGCTGGGGATGATGACTAAAAAGGGAAACAACAAAGAAGGAGACAAACTGAGAGATTTTAAATGTTGCAAGTGGTAACAATTTTGGATTTTAAAGCGATAGCATTCTCATTGAGATCCAGAGACCTAAGAAAAGTCTCCTCTTGCCAAGGATAACACAGACATACAGGAGGCTGATGACTAGAAAGGAGATAGGTGGTAAATGTGTAATTGCTCCCAACTAGGGAATAGAGGAGAACAGTACCCTGCTTACTCAGATGACATACAAACAAAACAATGAAAAGGAAAACCTTGGGCAAATCACTCCAACATACAATCACCAATTTAAATATAAACACAAAAATGTCACAATGTCTTGGAGACAACAGACCATCTGCAGGGTAGTAAATTACACAGTATGGCTTTTCTAGCCCTAAGTCTTTGTAAACTCCTTGGTGGAATTTGCTGTGAGCAACTTAGTAGGTCCTGATTGTTAAAGTTATCCAACTAGGGTATTTCTGTTGGGAGCAGCACCATGTAATTTTCTGGGAAGTTCACTCTCTCTCACGTGTATTGAATTCTTATGTTGGGACTGGTTAGCTTGGTCACTCTGCCAGGCCCAAAAGGAGCCCTCCTAGAGGCAGAAGGAATCTCTCACTACCAGCTGGGAGACACGAGAGACACATTGCTGAGAGAAGAGACATAAGAGACACGCATTGCTGAGAGAGAAATGTGAGGGACATGCACTGCTGGGAGAGACACACAGGGCTAAAAGAGACAAAGTGTGTTCCTGAACTTGAATTATAGCCTGCTGTTCCCTAATAAACCCCATAATCTGTGAGTTCTCTGTGGACACTGCAGCAAATTACTGAACCCAGCAGCGAAGTGGTGGGCGCTCCAGGAAGAACGGCTGGTCCAAGGGTTGGTGAAAGGGCTGGAGGAAGTCAGCATGTCTGGCCTTGCAGGAATAGGGCTTGGACTACTGATGGTGATTCTGTCTTCCTCTTGTAGGGTTAGAGGAGGTCAAAAGATGCGGCCTCCTTGCCTCTTTGGCACCATCACAATCCAAAAAAGAAGCAAGATAAAATAGTAGAACCAAAGGACGAGGATACAAACCTAGAAAAGATCCCTGAGGTAGCAGCAGCATTGAAACTCCCTGATAAAAAATTCAAAAAGAATTATATTTAGGTATCTTCAATAGATTGAGACACAGATCAAGGAAAACACTGACAGAATTGAGGAAACCATAGGGAAAACCATAGAACAAAACCAGAAGTCAATAAAAGAACAAAATAAATGAAAAATGACAAAATAAATGAAAAATTAGAAATGATACAAAATCCAGACAGAAATCTAGAAGACTAAATTTTCAGAAATAGGTAACACATTAAACGGGCAAAGGAGTAGAAGAAAATCAATGGAATACAGAATTAGTGAGATTGAAGGCAAATAGCAAATACCTCAATACTTCTTTGGAAAGGGATCAATCAGAAAAAAAGACTTAAAAAAAAAAAGAAAGTCTAAGTTTCATGTAGGAGTTCTGGTAGCGTAGTGCCTAAGGCACTTGACTGCTAACCAGAAGGCTGGCGGTTCAAACACACCGGCCACTCCTCGGAAGGAAGATGGGGCAATCTACTTCTGTAGTAATACTGCCTCAGAAACCAAAGGAGGGGTCGCTATGAGTCGGGTCTGACTCAACAACATATAACAACAAAACAACAAGGTTCATGTGGAATACCATCAAGAGGAATAACCTACATGTCATTGGAATTCCAGAACAGGAAGAGAAAAATAAAACCGGAAATAAAATGAGAGAAATAAAACCAGAGAGAAAACAGTAGAAGATTTTTTGGAAGAGAATTTCCCTTATATGATGAAAGATGAGAATATATCCATTCAAGAAGTCCAAAAGTCCCAAACAGGATAGACCCGAAAAGAAATTCACCAAGACATATCATCATCAAACTCATCAAAACCATAGACAAAGAAACAATCCTGAAAGCAGCACAGGAAAAATGAAAAGTTACCTACAAAGGGCAACCAATGTGACTGAGCTCTGATTTCTCAGCAGAAACCATACAGATGAAAAGGCAATGGGATGGTATATATAAAATGCTGAAAGAAAAAATTTCCAACCAAATATTATATGCCCACCAAAACTATCCCTCAAATATGAAATTAAGACATTTCCAGACAAGGAGAAACTAAAAGAATTTTTAAAAACCAGGCTGACCTTACAAGAGAAGGTAAAGGGAATCCTGTAGAAAGAGAAACAACCACCGATTATTAACGTACATGATGACATAACCCAGAGACCAACACAGTTATGGAAGTATCCAAACTAAGTAAGCTTACAAGACTGTAAACAGGGAAACACACATCAGTTTGCAAATGAGGACAACTACAAACCTAAATGAGGGAAAAAAATGTGCAGTTACAGAACTTCTAAATGGTGAGGAAGTCAAGACAACTGCAAGATAGAACTGTGGATAAGCAACACACCTTAAAAAGACACCAAGAGACTAAACATCAAAGGTTGCAAATGGCAACCATAAAAGAGCAGGAGTGCCAATATTAATTTGTGATAAAATTGACTTTAACACAAAAATTGTAATAAGAGACAAGGAAAACCATAACAATAATAAAAATCTATGCACCTGCACAGACAACCAGACACTGTAGAAGAGAGATCCAATGGATCTACCGACTCAGGACCATAGTACTGGGGGACACCAGACTCAATTAGCACAACAAAATACGTAATAGACTTGTTCCTCATCTTACATTGGTGAGTAGCAACTGGGGTTTTACAAGCTTTCAAGTAGCCATCTAAGATGCAGCTAATGAAGTTAAGATGCACTTTTCCTATCGTCACAAGTGAAGCAGAGTACAAAAAGCAAGCGCATTTGGAAGCAATCAGCCCTAGGACATGATGGCCCTTGAGACCAGAACAACTAAATGGTGCCTAGCTACCAATGCCAACCACTCAGGAAAGGATCAAATCAGGAGATCTGGATAGAGTGGGAGGAAAAACGTGGAACAAAATCCAAAAACTTGATAATGATCAGAATTACTGGTTGGGTAGAGTCTGGTAAGACCCCGAGTACTATGGTCCTGGGATACCTTCTGGGCCTGGAATAAAACTCAATCCCAGGGGTGGCTCTCAGCCCAGTAATAAACAAGATGTACATGCAGACCACTCAACCAGGGTGACACACCCACAAACTCTATGGGAATGTGTCCCTTGGAGTAATCAACCATGAGGCACCAGAGAGGCAACGTTCCCACGGAGGAAATGCAGGACACAAAAGAGTGCAGAACTCTGAGGGGCACAGGTGGAGGGTTACTGGGGAGGAGACGGGGTTAGGGTTGAGGATGGTAAATGCGAAGTGAAACTAAATGTACACGTAATGTTGAATGTAAAACAAATTCTTAAAATAAAAAATTAAAGAAAAAAATAAAATCGTGACAAAATCATTTTAAAGATAAAGAACCTATATAAAGAGACCTAAAGTATCTGAGTAAGTGGAAAGATACGTTACATTTTTGGATGGGAGGAATTAATATAATAAAATGAAAATTCTCCCCCAAAGTAATACATAAATTATTAAAGGGGGAAAAAAATGAATGCAGCCAAAGATTAATAAAATTGACAAACCACTGGCAATTTAACAAAGGAAAAGGCGAGAATACAAATAACATAAATAAGAAACCAATTGGGTGATATCACAACAGAACCAAAAGAAATTAAAAGGATAATATCAGGATACTATGAACAACCATAGAGAGCTCTGGTGGTGTATTGCCTAAGGCATTTGACTGCTGAGCAGAAAGATGGCAGTTGCAACCTACCAGTAACTCCACAGAAGGAAGACTGGGCAATCTACTTCCATAAAGATTTACCTCATCAGAAACCCAGTGGGGGTTGTTCTAAGTCTGAATCAACTTGATGGCAGTAGTTTGGTGATTTGGTTTATGAAAAATTACACTCCAGCTAATTTGAAAACCTAGAAGAAATGTACAGATTTCTAGAAGCATACTACTTAACTAAACTAACTGAGATGGAAAATTTGAACAGAACCACAACAAAAGAAATAATTGAACAGGTCATCAAAAAATTACCAACAAAAAAAGCCCTGGCCCACACAGTTTCACTGGAGAATTCTACCAAATATTCAGAGGAACTGACACCAATCCTACTGAAACTATTCCAGAACACAGAAAAGGATGGAATCCTCCCAAATTCATTTTATGAAGCAAGCATAACCTTGATA